AGGAAGTACCCCAGGCCACTCCGGGATTTGGGGCATGGCTGGAACCTGGAGATCTTGGAGTTCGAAGTGGAAACCATTTGGACATAGGTTTTTTGGATTTTGGGATATGTTTTTGATGCTTTTGGGCTATTTTTTAGGGTTTTTGGGAGATGTTGTTGTATTTGAAGAATATGTTGGGAAGTGTTGAGAGATGTTGAAAGATTGTAGTGGATTTGGGAAGATTTTGGTTTATTTTGGAAGATTTTGGTATATGTTGGAATATGTTGGTGTATTTTGGAATATGTTGGAAGATTTCAGGGAGATCAAAGTGGAATCGAAACGAAAAAGATTAAGCAGGCTTACTGTAACAGGCAAGCCTTGTAACATTCTTTCTGTGGGAATTAGAGTGCTGGTGAGTGAACAGATGTCTTTCTTTCAACTGGTTTGTATATGATATGAGGCATGCAGATCGGACCTTGGAATATCGAAACTCTTTTTTGGGCTATGGTCGGACCACGAACAGTGACTCAAACAGCAAAGATCGTTAAATTTTGCAAATGGGTGATGGGAGTAATTGCAACGCAAATTTATGTTCGACCCCACTGAACTTCATCGAAATGAAGTAGCAATCATGGAGATTCAACAACAAAAACATGTTCAATCCATGAAATTCATGAGGACCTAAGCAACCAACAAACCTGATGAAACTGTCATGAAATGGCAATGGAATAGTCAATATAGGGTGGAAATGCTTAGGACACCATTGCCATTGCTGATGGATAGTGTTCCGGTTTACCATCCAGGGCTCATCCACATGCTGAGAGAAGCTCATGAATGAGATAATCCCCAACTCAATTTGGTATACAGATGTATACAATATTATACAATAATTCCATATCATCAGCAACCAACTTTGGTAAATTCTGAGATGATTTGCAGCCTCAGGTGGAAGTGAGGGAGAATATCATCGAGGTGCAACCAACTTGGAGTTCATGGACCCGTTATGACCCGTTTATATAGGGATCATGTCATGGTTATACTAACTGGTTAATTCATGTCAACTCGATGATATTGGATTAAATTCTGGTTGGCGCTCTCAACATAGGTTTTTTTATGTTCAACCAAATTTGGGGTCATGATCTGATCGATCCCTTTTTTGGGCGTTGAAACTACCAAACAGCAGTGGCTACTGCCACCAAACATATGTTCATTGTTGGGACCCCTAAAGAAACCAACATTCGTTTTGAAGTATCCCCCACCCCACATGTTTGGTATTGTGCCGATAATGAATTAATGAATTAACCTTCATTTTCCTCTGTCAGACTTGGGGGATAGTCAACCGCATCGTTGTTTCCTTGAAAAAAAAGGACATGATGTTGCCAAGAGTCACCAAGTGTCAGAGCTGGATGACCAGTTGCTATCCATGGAGCACTGATGATGTGGAGGCAAATCTCATCAGTCCATGTTGGATCTTTCTCTATGTTTGTTTGGATCTTTCCGTATGTTTGTGACTTCGTTTGGCTTGTACGTAATTATGTATATAATGTATATATATATACATATACTTGGATGTGCCTTGCTGTTTGTGATCGCTGACCAGAGTAATAACCCAACTGTACTTTATCCTGCAGTTGTAGGATACTGGGCAGTATATAAACCCCCAGCAGTTGTATAAAGTCGAGCTAGTGGTTGCATCCACACTATGCCCCAGTGAATGGTTGTTGAATCACCCCGCTTTTGGACCCAGTCATGCAAGTCCAACTTGAGAGTTTCACGATTTGGTTGAAGCCACAAAATACACGGATAACCTATGTTTATCTTGTGAAAAGAAAACATGGCCTTTCTGCAGGGTTTTGGTAATTCATTTTGGTCAGGTCCCTCGGGTGGAAGTACGTGAGGCTTGGCTGGCGCTGCAATTTTGTGATGTAGGGCTATTTTTTTTGTGGGATAGGGATGGGATTTTAGAAGTGAGATATCACGGAATAATATGTGGCTGTGAAAATTGGGAAATCACCCTGAATGCAGAGCACGTTTAACAGGACAAATGATGATTGACCAGCGGATTTGGGGTTCCCTATTTCCAAACAAACCCGTGCATCAGATCCTCAGATGCGTGTATGTATGTGTAATTATATATATACACACACCATATCATGCCTAGGTAGATATACATACATTAGTGTAATATCATATATGCACATGACTATACATATATATATATATATATATATATATATATATGTATTTACATGCACGCATACATACATACATACATACATACATACATACATACATACATACATACATACATACATACATACATACATACATACATACATACATACATATATATGCATACATGCATGGCATATATATATATATATATATGCATACATGCATGGCATATATATATATACATACGCATACATGCACGCATATATATATATACACATACATGCAACTGTGTATATATATATATATATATATTTGCATGTATGTGTGTATATAATATATATATATATACAAACATTACATTACATTACATTACATTGCATTAAGTTGCATTACATTGCATTACATTACATTACAACGCAGATTTGCCTGTGTCGTGTATCAGAGCCTGGCAGGTTGTTCGGCAAGTGCCCAAAGTTCAGGTGCAATATGTGGAGAAAAAGGCAGGAATGGAGTCATGTCCTTTCCCCACTGGTTCGTTGATTGAAAGGATGGGTTACCCCCATTCAACAACATTCAACAACCAATAAATGATAATATTGAATACATGCTATTCCAAACATTTCCAAATCCTTCCCTCCTGTTGTTCTAAAAGGACAACATTGGGCAGAAATGGACAATGTCATGATATGTTAATGAGTTTTAGCATACTTTTGGCAAAGAAATTCGGGTTAACCCAAGGATCTCAGCACCCAATGATACGAATTGTGGTTTACTTCAGATACATAGGTGGTGATGTTCATAATGGTGGTGAAGCAATAACTGGTGGTGCATATCTCATCCCCAGTAACCTGAGAATATCCCAAACTGGGTAAACTCACCGTGGTGACGAACACCCTGTGATGGGTGTTGGTAAAGTTTGATTAATACCTGTGATGCTCTATTTGTACCTGGATGGCATCGACTTGTAAGCAACTCTGAACTAGTTTCTTGGGAAAGCCAGGATACCGGTACTGATTGGGTTTTGACGCATAGGGGGATAGAGTTTGGTTGTATTTACAGTATGTGGATCATCGTTCGCCATTTGTTGTTTTGTTGCATCAGAATTGGGGAAATGTGAAGATGTTTGGTGGAGGACTGGAAGGACCTTTGAAGCACCACTCACTTGATGGTTGCCTGTGGCTGGTCATGGAGGTAATTCCAAGCTGGTTCTTAAAGGGAGTTGGCCCCCACTGCGGAGTCAATCTTTCTGAAGGCTAGCTGAAGATCTGTCGTTTTTATCTCGTATTTCTTCGTCATGAACCATGGTAAAACTTCTACACTAAATCATGGTTCGGAAACTATCCTTCTACAAAGTTTGCCTTAGTGTTTACAGATGTTTACAGTCTTTACAGCTACGGTAATCCCAGTTAGTTAGCCTTGACCAAATCCCATGATTTCAACATTTTGTGTCTTGGCCACCATGAACTTCGCGAGAGAGAACCTGCGCTGATGACTCTTAGATGTTGCTACCATAGTGGGTTATATATAATTTGTAAATAGAGATATGTATACTCCCAATAGAAGTAAAATCGAAATAGGAGGATGTTGAAGGGATTAGTCATCATCTGTGTAAATTGAAGCACAACACCATGACGTCAGTGGCAGTCATGGTGAATAAAGGCACTCATCCTACAATGGTCAACGAGATATCCCAAAATAGTCCAAGACGATTCCAAAATAATCTCAAAGTAATCCAAAATGATCCAGGCATGATCCCAAAATGATCGATCAAAATGATCGAAAAATTGCGATTTGATAAGTTGGTGACTTATGATTCAGCTCAGCCCTCAACGCAGGTTCCCAAGCCGGTGATTGAGTACGTCGAGCGCGTGGTTGAGGTGCCCCAGGTCCTGTACCAGGCCTGGTGAAACTCAGCGGGCGGCGAAACTCAGCGGGCGACCAAGAGACTCAGCATGTATCTTGATACATCTTTTAAATATGTATATTATATATATATATATATTTTTAAATACGTATAAATATTAGATATATAAACTTATGCAAAACGAAATTAGAAGGATTTATGATGTAAATATGTACATACATTACATGTACATTGACATTTGCATGTGCATGTGCATTTACATTTACATTTACACTTACATTACATTCATTACATTCACTACATTCATTACATTCAATACATTCATTGCATTCATTACATTGATTACATTCATTACATACATACGTACGTACGCATGTACGTACATACATATATACTTACATACAAACAGACATACATACATACATAAATATGTGTATATAATATATATATATATACTTATTATATTATTATTATAAATATTTTCAATGATACATACATACATACATACATACATACATACAGACATACAGACATACAGACATACAGACATACAGACATACAGACATACAGACATACAGACATACAGACATACAGACATACAGACATACAGACATACAGACATACATACATACATACATACATATATACATATACATATACATATACATATACATACATATACATATATATATATATTGATTAATTATGCTGTATATGTGTATCTCCCAGGCTGCGCAGGGGTTGCCCCGGAGAGGTGTATCATCTCATGATCGACGGCGGCATTGGGCGGAAATTTGACCTTTGTAAGGAACAAGGGGATTGCCATATAGATTGATCAATAGGTGGATGGGTAGATATGGGTAGAGATCTTGTTTTGGAATTTATATTTTGGATAACTCATTTTGGTAACTTCCGCGTTCTAAGGCTCAAAAGTCCCAATTCAAGGGTCACAACTGGGCTCCAGGTAGGTCTGCTGCAATGGGGAAAAAGTATGTAAAAGTCAGGTACCAATGCAGCATATTGGCAATCCAAATTTCAGATGCCCATGATCATGTACCAGAATGACTCTGGCACACTATGGCACATATGGCTGTTTCCTACAATACGCGTACCCCCAAAACCATGGGTTTCAATACTAAAAAAGTCTAATTTTGGATGATTCGGGAGTGCCTCCATGACTTCGGAAACTTCCGCATACCCGCCAGAGACTTTGAGCATTTCGTCTGCCAGGAGAAAATTGTGGAAGTGCCAGAGGTCGAAATTCGAGAGGTGATCCGCAAGGCCCCACTCGGAAGGACCGCAGGAAGGATTTTGATGGTCTGTAATTTTGTTGCACTCCCTTTCAATGGGATTCGAATGATGGTTTATAATTACACATAACATCACATAACTACTATGTTGTATATATTGTTTGCTATGCAGGCTTGGTGGGTGATAGGTTCCAATCTCCCAGGGTTGTCACCCAGCGATTGTCCTGAGAGTGACTCCAAAGAAGCCTTGTCAATGTTGGCGAAGAAAGAGGAACACGTAGGAAAGCAACAGATTTATTGTCCAACATATCCGATTTGGGTAACACCATCAAATCTAGCTGGCTACTTCATATGCTTTTCCTTCAATTCCACATTTATGGTTGGTTTTGCCCAATGTTCTACCAATTTGTGATCATATTGTGATTTGTTGTATCGGATAGATAGATAGACAGAGAGGTAGACAGATAGACAGACAGATAGAGAGACGGACGGACGGACGGACCGACAGACAAACAGACAGACAGACCGACGGGCAGAGACAGACAGAAAGCGGACAGAGAGACACGGAGGGACACCGAGAGACACGGAGAGACACGGAGAGACACGGAGAGACACGGAGAGACAGAGAGAGAGACAGGGAGAGACAGAGAGAGACAGAGAGAGAGAGACAGAGAGAGACAGAGAGAGACAGAGAGAGAGAGAGAGATAGATAGATCGATCGATAGATAGATAGACTGACTTGTACGATTTTGTATGATCTTGCATGAACTTGTATGGACATTCTTGCCTTGAACCCAGAGACCTTCACTGTTGGGCAGTTAAGTCCCGGTTTATTGGGGTCACTTTGGTTTCAGGCACACATGCTATGTGTATATGTGTTTTATTATAACAATAATAACATGTATATTCATATATATAATTATATATAAACACATATTATTAGAACATGATCATAAACATATAGTGTATTAAATTGATTATCAATATACATACATATATATATGTGTGTTTACATTATATATCAGTAAGTATGGCCATCTATACAGATTGGTAGCAGCGATGGATTCGTTTCCCTGGATGTTTGCGGCCAGGTGCCAAAGACCACGGTGCAGTACGTGGTGCCTCGGACAACCCATGGGGAAAGCCTAGGAAAATGATTTACAAATTGTGGAATCTCCAGATTTTAGTATGTTTGCAGGCGGCTAACTGGAGTTGTATATTGGTAATTTTGCGGAGGTATAGAGGGATATAATGCTGTAATTATATAGGTGGAACCAACCACCTAAATTGTTTGGGTGTCTCTGAAAATGGAGAATTAACATGCGTGTGTTTCTTTTCCAAGGTGCAGAGTGCCCTGCGCAGTGCAGCCTTCTTTGAAGGAACATGTGCCTTTCAAAACCTGTTGTACATCTATCATACAACTATGATGTAGCATGTTTCAGTATTCTGTTGAAAAGTGCGGCCATGTTACGTCATGTTTGCTTCTGCCGGTGAAACGTTGCATGTACCCCATTCCATCCACTGCTTTGGACTGCTCAAGTAATCACCTTATAAACAAAACACACATATATTTATATATACATGTGTACACATAGAAAAGGTGCATTAAAATGTGTATATATACACATAGATACACACATGTGCACTGTGTCATGTACTTTTGGGTTTGGATCCATTGTGCAGGATTATGTTTGGACTTTGCAAACGTAACTCGCGAGATGTTTGTGAAAGGCGATATGCAACTTTGAGAGAGATACATATACCAAGCAGTGGGCACATGATTCATTAAATTAATGTGAATGGTTATTGTAAATTCGAACTGCTTTGGGTATTTACATATACATAACATATGTGTTTCAATGTATATATATATACGTATGTATAGTCTATAGACAGCATATTTACATCTATACATATCCTTATATATGTATGTGTGTATTATATACATATGTATGGCACATATATTTACATATATATGTAATATAGAGGCATGACATGAAAACTTGCTTATTGTGTAGTTCCGGACCTGCAAACCATTGAGGACAAGCCCATCAAGCGCCATGAACTCCGCTACTACGAGCGGATCGAGGAGGTCTGATCGACCGTGGGTCAATGGCTCAAAGAAATACGATGCATGTGGGATGCACATCCAAGTAGGGATTTTCGAGGAATATATATATATAATACATATAATATACATATACATGTACATATACATATACATATATATATATGTACATATATACATATAAATATATATTTATAAATACATACGTATATATATTATACATATACTTATATATATACATATACATATATATATACATATATATATATACATATATATATATACATATATATATATACATACATACATATATATATATACATATTTATATGTATACACATATACACATATATATATATGTATATATATACATATATACACCTATATACACATTTATTTAGATATATACATATATATACATACAAATATATATATACATACAAATGCATACATATATACCTACATATATACATATACATATTTACATAAAAATATATCGTTTTTTTTTACATACATACATATATACATGCATGCATATACATACAGATATCTACGTATGTATATATATACACATATTTATTTATACATACATATATCAACATAGATACATTCATACATATACATATATACATATATATACATATACATACATACCTTTAAATATATACATATGTATTTAATATGTGTACATATTTGTACATGTTTGTACATAGTTTAACATATATATATATATAGATAGACAATTTAATTTATATAAATATCTCAATGCGTTCACTAGCCGCTTACTAAACTCATAAATCATGTCTCTTTGCAAGCGGCTGCCATTCTATTGGTCTATATAATTTTAACATGTCAAAGTGCTCGGGAACACAAACTTGCTTGCAGGCATTGGCCCCTTCAACGCTATCAATTGTTTGTTTCCATAGCAGTCCATGCGAGATTTGGCTGCAACTAAAGATTATGTACTATTAAATACTATGATTATGTTATGTGCCCCAAGAACTGGCTGGATCGTTTCCGAAACCATCAGTCGCGCAATGTGACGCATGGACGCAGCTTGGCACAGCAGTGCCTTGGCAGGTTCCTGTTCATTTGCAACATGAACAACCTGTTGAGGCGCTTGAACAGATGTTACTTGGTAGTTGGCTGGATATTCATCCATATTTTTTTTGGGGGAAAGAATCATAGCTATGGACCCATCCTTAAGGTATGTGCAGATTGATGTTGGTGTTTCGGTGATGTTTTGTGCATCTGGGTTCATGCCACGTATTCACCAGCGACTAGTTTCTGACTGTGCAGGCGTACTGTTTGTACTTGCAAAGTGATCACAAGCACTCACATCAGTTTCAATCAGATTTCCTGAATTTCATTGGAAACTGATGGAAACTTCGGTTTTTCCGGGGAAGTATTCCATAGACATTTGTCCCTGGATAAACCTTGGTCGCTGACTGACATCTCGGTGTGAGCGGTCAAGCTGTGTGCTGTTTGGGGTATTTTTTGCTTGCCATCCAATTCATTCCAACACTCTTTGTTTGTAGATTTTGTTGCAAAAAAACGCCCTTAACAAGTATATTTGGATAGAAAAGAAGCATGGGTGTTTTTTTTCCCAGCCAGGGAATCTCACCGAATTTGAAATCAAGTAGCTATGATGGGTATAATTTGCCTGCTTGGTGCTCAGTATCCAACCATTCTTTGCGCCAAAAAAGCGACCACTAAAAAGAAGAACAACAAGTGGATACGAAAGCAAACAGTAAAAGAGTGAAACAAAAGCGGAGAACAATTACACATTATACCCACTGTCCCCACTAGTATAGAGATACTTTGTATCCCAGGATTGCATGAAAAGGAACATTCCGATCATGTTCGGTAAAAAGAATGGTTTCCTGTAAATGCTCCCAGAATGAAATCCATTGAATCTATTGATTATACAATGGCATGTCTTTAACCCGATGGCTATACCCGTTGCGGTATGACCATTATCGATAATTGATCCTACAAGTATATGAGTAATGTGCATATTATATGCAGTACATTGCATATGTATGTATATTCTATTATGCATGGTATATAGGGTTCAATATTTCATATTTCCATGTATACTACAATACATGTATATACATACTACGATATGTTTGTTTTACATGATATATTATATTATATGTTCATACAATATTATATATGTGGCTCACTATACTATCTTTAGATTATATGTATTTTATTCATGTGTATATAGATATATATCTATATATATATATATATTAAATTATCACTTATCTATACAGCTATCGTCATATCATAGAAATTATCTCCCAGCATTCGCAGGTGACACAGGTCATGGCGGTGGAACGGATCCGGGAAGTGCCCAAGTTACAGTGGCATCGCGGCTGCAGCGAAATTAAAGCCATGAAAAATATAGGGATTCTACGGACTTAATGACTAATATGTTGATTATGATAGGGAATTTTACTGACTTATACTATGGTATCAGGATTGGTGAATCTAGGGAGCTATCGGACTACAATTCAAATGTAAATCCCCTAGGAAGATACTATGGAAGTTCTACTAGCTAATCTATTGGTGATTCTGATAATTTAACTAATCATGATTTAGGGATGATAACCCTTAATAGGAAAACCTACCCAATTGTTTGGGGATTATTGTGGGACTGATACTAGCTAAGTTATTGGGGATTATGATGACCCGTCGTAGGGAAACCTATCAACCAACTAGTTTAATGAGATGGGACGGGAGGTATTTTTGTTGGCTCATATGATGATGAAATCACAGGGAAGTTTTCACCGGTGATTTCAGAGGATATATACATACATAATCATACATATATCTTGAAGCAACTTCATATGATGATATGATATATGTTTTTTCTTAAAGCTTATTGCACTCAATCTACGGCCTGTTTCTACGTTTTCGTTTGTTTATCGTCTATGAAACCAGGGATAAGCCACATGGGGATGGATCAAAAATCAGATCCCAACGGGTGCAACTCGATGCGTCACTTTGGTGAACCACCTTTTTTTGGTGAACGACTTCACTGGCAGATCAGAATCCCAGAGAATGGTTAGGATTACCATTGGGAAAGTTAAATTATCCAAAAGATGGCCAGCATTTTTGATGTGGGAACTTCAGTGATTTGCTCGTCAAATTGATGAATTTAACGTGTGGGAAGTGTTACAGCCCATCAATTTGTGCTGCAGAGCACAAACTGGGCCAACCCAATGGAGAATGGTCGGTGAACGGGTCAATTTATTTAGCCTTCGATGCACGAAGACATGGTATCAGAATGTATATGGTGTCCCGTCAAAGAATGATTGAAAAGGGGTGAAAAGGCTGAAAGGGTACAGTATCCAACGCTTTCCAATTCTGATTGACTTTACCTCCATAATATTATTCGCAAAAAAAACAACTGGCAAACTGTTGATTTTGGCAGCGGCAGATATCCGATTGGAAACACAGCCAGGCAAGATGTCCCGAGGGAATTCCCGAAGGCAGGTAACGGGCCATTGCTGCACTATTGGGATGATCACAGCTCAGGGGGGTGTATGAATTTGTCAAGATATTGCTCAACATATACGTAATTATATACAAATAATATGAATAACAATATATATATATATAAATAGTTATATATGTATATACCAGTAGTACGGCACAAGGCGGTGGCGGAAGTTTCAAAAACAGGAAACCTACCCCTACCTATCTATCTACCTATGTATCTATCGATCTATCTTTCTGTCTACCTATCTTTCTATCTATCTATCTAACTATCTATCTATCTATCCATCTATCTATCTATCTATCTATCTATCTACCTATCTATATCATTATCTATCTATCTATATCAGTATCTATCTATCTATCTATCTATCTATCTATCTACCTATCTATATCATTATCTATCTATCTATATCAGTATCTATCTATCTATATATCTATCTTATTTATCTTATCTATCTTATCTATCTTATCTATCTTATCTATCTTATCTATCTTATCTATCTTATCTAATCGTATCTGTCTTATCTATTTTATCTATCTTACCTACCTTATCTATTTTATCTATTTCATCTATCTTATCTATCTTATCTATCTTATCTATCTTATCTATCTTTTCTATCTTTTCTATCTTATCTATCTTATCTTTCTTATCTATCTTATCTATCTTATCTATCTTATCTATCTTAACTATCTTATCTATTTTATCTATCTGATCTATCTTATCTTTCTTGTCTATCGTATCTATCGTATCTATCTTATCTATCCTATCTATCTTATCTATCTTATCTATCTTATCTATCTTATCTATTCTTATCTATTCTTATCTATTCTTATCTAATCTTATCTAATCTTATTTAATCTTATCTAATCTTGTCTAATCTTATCTATCTATCCATCTATCATTCTATTATCCATCTATCTATCTATCTATCTAGCTAGCTAGCTATCTATCTATCTCTCTCTCTCTCTTTCATCTGTCTAGCTGTCTATCTGTCTATCTATCTATCTATCTATCGATCTATCTGTCTATCTATCTATCTATCTATCTGTCTATCTGTCTATCTGTCTATCTGTCTATCTGTCTATCTGTCTACCTGCCTATCTGTGGTGCAGTGTCATTCAGTGTAATGTAGTGTAGTGTAGTGGAGTGTAGTGGAATGTAGTGTAGCGTAGTGTAATGTACTGTAGTTTAGTGTAGTGTAATTTAGTGTAGTGGAGTGAAGTGGAAGGTAGTGTAGTGTAGTGTAGTGTAATTTAGTGTAGTGGAGTGTAGTGGAGTGTAGTGGAGTGTAGTTGTGTAGTTGTAGTTGTAGTGTTGTGGAATTTAGTGTAGTGTAATGTAGTGTAGTGTAGTGTAATTTAGTGTAGTGGAGTGTAGTGGAGTGTAGTGGAGTGTAGTTGTGTAGTTGTAGTTGTAGTGTTGTGGAATTTAGTGTAGTGTAATGTAGTGTAGTGGAGTGTAGTGTAATGAAGTGTAGTGTAGTGTAATTTAGTGTAGTGGAGTGTAGTGGAGTGTAGTGGAGTGTAGTTGTGTAGTTGTATTTGTAGTGGAGTGTAGTGTAATGTAGTGTAGTGTAGTGTAATTTAGTGTAGTGGAGTGTAGTGGAGTGTAGTTGTGTAGTTGTAGTTGTAGTTGTAGTTTAGTGGAGTGTAGTGTAGAGTAATGTAGTGAAGTGTAGTGAAGTGTAGTGAAGTGTAGTGGAAGGTAGTGTAGTGTAATGTAGTGTAGTGGAGTGTAGTGTAATGTAGTGTAGTGTAGTATAATTTAGTGTAGTGGAGTGTAGTGGAGTGTAGTTGTGTAGTTGTAGTTGTAGTGTTGTGAAGTGTAGTGTAGTGTAATGTAGTGTAGTGTAGTGGAGTGTAGTGTAGTGTAGTATCATGTAGTGTAGTGTAGTGAAGCGAAGCAAAGCGACATCTGAACCTCCAAAAGTGGTCCGAACCCCTGGTGTTTTTCACATTTTGACTTGCAAATGTGCTTCGCGCCACAACGGCGTGCATTTTTTTCACATCGGAACGTCCAAAAGTGGTCCGAACCCCTGGTGTTTTGTACATCTTGACTTGGAAACGTGCTTCGCGCCACAACGGCGTGCACTTTTTTGACATCTCAACTTCCAAAAGTGGTGCGCGGCTGAGGTGTTTTTAACATTTTGACTTGGAAATGTGCTTCGCGCCACAACGGCGTTCACTTTTTCGACATCTCAACTGCCAAAAGTGGTCCACACCCCTAGTGTTTTGTACATTTTGACTTGGAAATGTGCTTCGAGCCACAACGGCGTGCACTTTTTCGACATCTCAACTTCCAAAAGGGGTGCGCGGCTGAGGTGTTTTGTACATTTTGACTTGCAAATGTGCTTCGCACCACAACGGCGTGCACTTTTTCGACATCTCAACTTCCAAAAGTGGTCCGAGAATGGTGTGTTTTGTACATTTTGACTTGGAAATGTGCTTCGCGCCACAACGGCGTGCAATTTTTCATCTCTCATCTGGCCAGCTGGCTCCCGCCGCTTTGGCGAGCCTACTTTTCGACCCTCCGGAGCCCCAAATCATTGGAAAAACATAGTGTTTCGCGACTTTCCTACCTTTCCACGCATCTGCATCTTCTTTCTTCTTATTTTCTTTCTTCTATCTTTCTCTTCTCTCTGCCTCTTCCCTGCTCTGCTTTTCATCTGTCCATGTTGTCGGAAGTTTGACTTCTAAACTTCCTTCGGTTATATGTCCCAGTAGTACCGCACAAGGCGGTGGCGGAAGTTTCAGAATAGGAAACCTATAGGAGACGTTGGTTGTTGTGAATCACGGATGGCAGAGCGAATCCACTGATTGACCGAAAGGTGGTTGGAGCTGTGTTTGCTGGAGTGGTTGCAATGGTTGCAGTGGTCACCTCACCCACAACTGCTGGATGTAGTGTGATGTACTGCAACTGTAGTTGTAGTTGTTGCGTAGTGGAGTTGTAGTTGTGGTGTAATGTAATTAGTGTAGTGTAGTTGCAGTCATATAGTTGTAGTTGTAGTTGTTTTGTAGTTGTAGTTGTTGTTCAGTTGTAGTTGTAGTTGCTGTTGTTGTTGTTGTAGTTGTAGCTGTAGTTGTTGTGTAGGTGTAGTTGTTGTGTAGTGTAGTTGTAGTTGTTGTAGTTGTAGTTGTAGTAGTTGTTGTTGTAGTTGTAGTTGTTGTAGTTGTAGTTGTTGCTGTTGTTGTTGTAGCTGTAGTTGTTGTAGTTGCAGTTCTAGTTGTAGTTGTTGTGTAGTTGTAGTTGTAGTTGTAGTTGTAGTTGTTGTGTAGTTGTAGTAGTAGTAGTAGTAGTAGTTGTTGTTGTTGTTGTTGTTGTTGCTGTTGTTGTAGTTGTTGTTGTAGTTCTAGTTCTAGTTGCAGTTGCAGTTGTTGTGTAGTTGTTGTAGTTGTAGTTGTTGTGGTTGGTGTTGTAGTTGTTGTGGTTTGTGTTGGTGTTGGTGTTGTTGTTGTTGTTGCTGTTGCTGTTGTCGTCGAAGTTAGGGTAGTTAAGTTAGTTAAGTTAGTCAAGTTAGTTAAGTTAATCAGTGTCTACTTTTTCGACATCAGCAGGTCAAAAAAGGTTCAAAACACTCAGTTTTTTACACTTTTGACTTCGAAATGTGCTTCGCGCCACAACGGCGTGCACTTTTTCGACACTTTTTCGACATCTGAACCTCCAAAAGTGGTCCGAGACCGTCAGTTTTAACACTTTTGACTTGGAAATGTGCTTCGCGCCACAACGGCGTGCATTTTTTTCACATCGGAACGTCCAAAAGTGGTCCGAACCCCTGGTGTTTTGTACATCTTGGCTTGGAAACGTGCTTCGCGCCACAACGGCGTGCACTTTTTTGACATCTCAACTTCCAAAAGTGGTGCGCGGCTGAGGTGTTTTTAACATTTTGACTTGGAAATGTGCTTCGCGCCACAACGGCGTTCACTTTTTCGACATCTCAACTGCCAAAAGTGGTCCACACCCCTAGTGTTTTGTACATTTTGACTTGGAAATGTGCTTCGCGCCACAACGGCGTGCACTTTTTCGACATCGCAACTTCCAAAAGTGGTCCGAGAATGGTGTGTTTTGTACATTTTGACTTGGAAATGTGCTTCGCGCCACAACGGCGTGCAATTTTTCATCTCTCATCTAGCCAGCTGGCTCCGCACCCGCCGCTTTAGCGAGCCTACTTTTCGACCCTCCGGAGCCCCAAATCATTGGAAAAACATAGTGTTTCGCGACTTTCTTACCTTTTCGCGCATCTGAATCTTCTGTCTTCTTACTCTTTCTCTTCTAATCTTTCTCTTCTCTATGCCTCTTCCCTGCTCTGCTTTTCATCTCTCCATATTGTCGGAAGTTTGACTTCTAAACTTCCTTCGATTATAGAGAGAGAGAGAGATCTAGATAGATACGTATACATAATTATACATATGTGTACTCACATTTTTACATATGTATATTAATTATATATATAATATACCGTCATATTGTGTATTCACGTACATATACATGTGTCCATTGCCGTGACCCTGAGCCATCCTGAGCCCCTTCCATTCTGAAGTGGATGCAGGTATGGGAAGAAACGATCACCATAACCAAGTTGTATTTTTTCAGGCTTTGTAGCTATAGCCCATTTTCCAAATCCACATGACCCCAAAAAATCGGGGTGTTCCACTCCACGGCGGAAATCTGTCACCAATCCTGGAGGTTCAACTGCAGGCGGAAACCAAGGCTGGGATGAAAATGGGGTGCTGGTTCTATCCTAAAATACATGAAGATCGATGGTTTGTGGGCTGCAGCCACAAAGTCAACCCGTTGTCCCTTCAAAGCAACCAGAAGGTGAGCCAAGGTGAAGCTATGGATAGGACAAAAATCTGATCCAAAGATATCGAAGATTGGCCGCGGGATGTTGCGAGCCAAAGGTTTCGGCCATTTTGAACACTAAAACTATTGTCCTATTGATGACGGTTGCGCTTTGACAAAAAGCATGTCAATATATGTCAATAAAACAACATAATTGGGGATGCTTTAGCCATTGAACATGTTGATTCTTCATTGTCGTGCTAGCAAAGTCTGGGGGAAGTGGTAGACAGGTATATTTCGCTCACCCAGGTCTGTAAGGGATATGATATAATGGACATATATATATACATATATATACACATATAATAATTAATAATCATATATACATATTCATATTTTCCATATTCGGTAATATGGTGTATGTGTACATTCTGTACATTCTCTTTCCAGAATACACCTCCATTTCCATTCCAAAACCATATTCCATCATATTTAAGACAAATATGGTATTGTCAAACATATTTCAGAATATTCCATGATATTCCACAACAGTCGAAATTATATTTCATAGATTACCAAGACATTCCCATGATATTCCCACAACAGTCGCCATGTTTTTTCTCACCGAGCAGCTCGTCTTTCGTCCCAGGCCGTTGAAGTCCCAGTGAGCTTGGTTCATGAACAACCTGTGGAGGCCGATGGAGATCTGATTTTTTTTCTGCGTATAACAAGATATCTACAAAGATCACCTTAAACGGTGAATACATATTATACCATGGTCTAGTATATCTTACCATATTGTATCCGATTATATCTTTTTGTATTTTACCACATCATTTGCATCTTATTATATCCCACGGTATCTTAGTATACCATATTGCATCGTATTATATCACTATTATATCATGTTTATGTATCTTAATATTTATGTATATATACATATATATATATTGTTATATTGTTATATCTTATTATCTCTTATGATATCTTGTTGTAGCATATTATATCATATTGTATCTCGTCCATCCTCTGCAATGGCATGGAAGGGTAGTTATATCTAACATGAAATGCAACCATTAGCAACTACATACAAAAAGACACATAAAGTGAATGTGTTAGTCGCTGCATGCACACTTACACGTCCTATTGTTTACCCATCTACACATTTGCATCCCCATGATTTCCCATTGAAGACGGGACCTGAGAGTTGGTATCATATGCTCACTTCGACTAGTTCATAACCTGATCAATTTCCATTCTTTTGTCTATCCGTTCATTGAACACGCCTAGATTTTGTTTCTTTGTTGAAACGATATGAACGAAACAAACATTTGTTGGATGTATATGTAACAAATGATCTAAATGGATGTAAATGGTGATAATTTACTTCCAAAATAATTCATTCATAATTTATAATGGTGTATATATGTAGAAATGCACCTCTACTAATTGCGGCCACAGAGTCAGACAGCACATTGTGGTCGGAATCACCAAAACCATGCACATAAATATATTACATGTACAAACGCTTACGGATGTAAACGCGAAAACACCAGTGATTACGCGCAGCTCTGGCTTTTCAGGCATTGGCATGTGGGGACACGCCACAACCTGTGGCTGTTCCCTGTGCCGTTGTTTCAACCGGGTGTTCTACCTGGTTTCGATTGGCCAGACACATCCAGGTTTCATTGGTTTAGCGTTGGCCGCCGCGCGGACCTTTGAGGCCGACTTGAGGGACGAGCTCCAGAGGCTTGGCCCTCCCCCGGTTGTGACCAGCGGGGCGACCCGGACACCATCTACAGGGGAGGGGCCGCCACCCTCCCAGCTTTCGAAAGAGGAGGTTGAGCCGAAGGAGGACAAGGAGGAGAACAAGAAAGAAGGTAGATTGAACCTCACTCCCAAGGGGGCACCGCCAGCCCCCCCAAGCAGCTCATCAAGGCCGAGGAGTTCCAGCCACCCAAGGAGGAAAAAGAGCCTGAGAAGGAAACAAGGGAATCCAGAACTGAAGAGGAGAAGCCAAGGGCAGCCAGCAGCGGAAGGAATCGTCGAGGAGAATCCAAAGAGAGGAGAAGGGGAGAAGACAGGTCTCCCAGGCTAGAAAGAAGCAGGAGTCGCCGGAGGGGAAGCAGGAGCCATCGAAGAGAGAGGAGGAGCCGTGACAGAGATCGAAAGAGGAGAAAAGAATTGGATTCTGAGGAAGAAAGGCCAGAAGGAGGAAAAGAGAAAAAGAGGAGGTCAGAGAAACCGCCTGAACCACCTGGCCCGCCCCCTGATCGTTGGGAGGACCGTCACTGGTACCCCCGGGAACCTGATCACCCTCCACCTCCAAGACAGGGCTCGGGGTGGAGGGGGGTGTTGCCGGTGAGCGATCACGCCAGGTGGACCTCGTCCACAAATAAAGGACAGGTGAAAAGAGGAAAGCAAGAGCTTTTCAGTAGAAGGCGCGACAGGCGCCGCTGACTGAAGGATGGCGCCGAAAAGAGGGGCCTTGCGGAGGCCTGCATCATCGAGAGGAGCCCTTCGACGACCTGCCCGACAAGAAGCGGCGAAGGAGAAGGAGGAGCAAGTCCTGCCGAAGTTGCAATCTTTTTCAGACTTGAACCCCAAGGCGCTGGCGGGACTCAGGTCAATCTACCTCCCAGAGGCAGTGTATTATGGGAGGAAGGTGAAGCTGGCAGGACAAGTCAAAAGCGTCAGAAGTGAAGATGGCCAATGGTTCCTGGACTTGGAAGTGAAGGGAACACGTGATGAAGATCTTTTGAGGATCTTGAGCGGCAGAAAGGACAAGCTGGTGGCTGTACACCTATGCACGGTGGATTGCAACCAGCAACTCACAGACGAGCTCTTGGTGCACTCCGGCAAGTTCGAAGAAGTGAGCCTGATGGAGGAGAGTTGGATGAGCAATCTTAAAGAAGCAACGAGAAGAGAAGATGGAGGAGATGATCTGCAGGAGCTGCGGCGTGAGCAGGCGAGGATGGAAGAAGCCGGAAGGAAGGCCAAAACGGTCGACAAAAAAGAAGCGAAGAGGAAGAGGAGAGAGGAGGCAGAAGAAGGGAGACCAAGCAAGTCTCCCAAAGGTGAGGAAGAGAGCAGAGAGGTGGGCCAATGAACTTTGGCGGAAGTCTTTGGTGGCACCGGCATGGACCCCAATGTGAGGGTCAGGTCAAAAATCGTCAAAAGAGCCCGCAAGATAGCAAAGAAGGACCGAAGGAGCAAAAAGAAGAAAGACAAAGGCAGCAGCAGTGGGAGCTTGGGCACTACATCCTCTAGTTCGTCTTCAAGCTCGTTGGAAGTGGGTGAGACAGGCCTTTTCGAGGACGACAAGCGGCTGCGGGCCGTGTGGAAAAGGTGCCCAGGCGCACTCTCCTCGAGATCTCTCCAGGAGATAAAGCGCAGCCTAGTCACAGCAGCTGGCACAGCCTGGGGAATGGACAAACAAAGTCTTCCCCCACTTTTCACACAATACAGCAAGCAGGTGGTGATAACTGGAATGAGTGCCTCACTTCAGCAGGAGGTGATTACCATCAGCCAGGCACTCGACCTGTTAGCCCAAGGAAAAGTGGGCAGCAGCATGGATGTGCTCACGCAACGGCTGAAAAGCCTTGAGGCTTTAGGTCGTGGCGCCCACTGGACTATGTGCCGACAATAATATGAGTTGGTGAAGTGCGAAGATGGCGGAATGACGGAAGCTCAGGAGCGACTATAGCTGCTCGCCAAGCACGTGAAGAAGATAGGCTCAGGTCGCTGATGACGAGGCCGGCGTCAGGGAAGGGAGGAGACACCTCCCAGAACATGGGTGGAAAGGCGAGAAAAGGAAAGGAAAAGGGATCAGGAAAGAATCAGTCAAGTGATGGAGGGAAGAATAGAGGAGCCGGGGCTGGAAAAGAAGAAGGAAAGACATCATGGCAAAAGAAAGAGAGGAGTTGAGGAGGTTGGCATCACTGACTGATTCAGAAGGGTCTCAAAAACTTTCCAGAGAAGACAAGTATGACGATTCTAGAAAGGCTGCGAAGAGGAGAAGACAAGAAAGAGGTGGCACTATGGAGGGATTGGCTGGCACAGGTTTCACCGCTGAGGACATAGACACTTTGATCGTCGAAGCTCGTGAGAAGGCCTCAGGTGCAGAATGGAGTTCCCAAGCTTGGCGGCACGGGGACTCCCATGAGGAGACGGAATTCAAGTTGCATCACTTTGAAGGGGGCCAGCAGAATGCACAGGCTGGCTCCCAAGAGTTTCACTTGCATGTGCAGCGCCGGGTAGATGAGTGCCTAAGCAGCGCTGACGGAGTCATCAAAGTCGGAAGCCTTGGTTCTTTGGTGGTGGATGCGCTTTCAATGTTAGAAAAACCTAGTTGCAGACCAAGGTCCACTACAGGAAAAGGAGACTTGTTTCCACTTCCTGTTGCGCATTTTAGCCATCACCCAGAATCTCATTCCGCTACCTCGTCCGAGGACCTCAGATGCTTCTTTACTTGTTCCGGACTCCTCCAGCCTGGACCAAGTTCATGGCCTTCGGAAAGGAGGCGCCTCGGTGTCTGGTACCCCCAGGTGAAGATTCTAAGAGATGGTTTTTGGCTGGTCGAGTTTTGCCAATGGGGTACCTCAACAGCGTGGAGATAGCTCAGCACATCCACCGGGCTGTCATTCAAAAGGCCATTGGTTCAGTGAAGGGGCTGGGGCTAACTATCCAAGAGCTTAGACGAGATCGGTGCTTTAGCGGTTTTCCAAATTTGTTCAGGGTTTACCTTGACAGCCGGGACCACGTCAGAGGTGGTAGATCAGGTAAGGGAGTGCTATGAGCTGAATGGCCTCCCAAGACACCCGAAGAAGACGGTCCAACAATCTTGGGATGCAGAAGTGCAAGGGGCATGGCTTGATGGAGAAGAAGGGACGCTCTATGCGAAGCCTCCCAAAGTGGCAAAGTATGTGCGGCTGGCGCTGGAGCTTTTGGGGCGTGGCACAGCTTCACAACGAGAACTACAGATAGTTGGGGGGGCTTCGTATACATTTCAATGTTCAATAGGCCTTTACTTTCTAGTCTGAACCACATCTGGCGTATGATTGTTGAAGGCAACTTTAGAAAGCCCACAGGCCGGGTTTGGATGCACCGTGAAGTCATGGTTGAGTTGGTCAGGTTTATTGGTTTGTGTCCTTTGAGTTTTATGAGTTTTCGAGGGAGATTCGACTCCATGGTCACGGCCAGCGATGCATCCACAAGCGGGGGAGGAATTGCGCGAAGTGTGGGGCTTACTCCCTATGGTCAGGCTGCCAGTTTGAGTCAGGTCAGGGGTGATATCCCGGAAGAACTAGAAATGATTCAGATCTTGAGTGTAGGACTTTTCGACGGGATTGGAGCCTTGAGGGTGGCATTGGATGCCATCAAAGCTCCGGTGGCAGGGCATATCTCTGTCGAAAGCAATCCAGAAGCTCGAGGGGTGGTAGAGTCCAACTTCCCGGATTGTGAGCACGTTGAAGATGTAACTTCTTTGGGCTGGGATATGGTTCAGTTGGATTGGTTTTGGTAGGAGCAGGACCCCCTGTCAAGGGGTGTCAGGCCTCAATAGCGACAGAAAAGGTGCCCTCAAGGACCAGAGAAGCAAGCTCTTCAAGGAGGTGCCCAGGATAGTAGGCATGTTCAAGCGAGCTTTCCCGTGGGCGCAGGTACACAGCATCACTGAGAATGTGGCGTCTATGGACTTCAACGACTGCCAGGTCATGAACGAAGAGTTTGAACTCTTACCATGGTTCATTGATGCAGATGGCATTTGTCTCGCACACCGCCCCCGCCTCTACTGGATCACCTGGGAACTCCAGGAGGGCGAAGGAGTCGAGATTTTCTGGGGTTCCGGGGAAAGACCCCCCCCTCCAAGGGCAAGTGAACTTGAAGACCACCGTCGAGGAGAATAATTTCTTGGAGAAGGGATGGTGGAGAACCTACCAAAAGCCACTGCCTACGTTCACTACCGCCCGGCCGAGCTCAAAGCCTTTAAGGCGACCAGCTGGACTTCGAGATTGCAGTGAACAAGAAGTACAGAGATGGAAGGATCACTCTCACAGGTTTCCACCTTACCAGTATATGGACCAGCACTGCCTACAAGATGCGCAAGGGAGTCTGAGGACTCCTAACATCAGAGAAAGGGAGGCAATCATGGGATTCCCTCCCAACTACACACTCCAATGCATGAAGAAGGAGTACCATGGGACGGTTAGCCCATGAAGATTGCAGACTCAGCTTGGTGGGCAACCCGTGGGCGGTGGGAGTTGTGGCGTGGCTGCTACAGCAGCTACTGGGGCCCTTAGGGGTAACATCTCCTACCTCCTTGTCGGACATCATGACCGAGCTCACCCCCGGAAAATCACCCCATCTGCAAACTTTGCTTTTGCGGCCACTGTTCGGACAGGCCAACAAGACTTTCTCTCCCAGTGATCATCTGGCAGCAAAGCTTGCTGGATTGGTCTCCATCAAGGGAGAAGATCTGATGTTGCAGAGCGTGTCAGAAGTTCCGGTGAAGCACCACCGACTCAGGACGGGCATTCCAGGACGGTTGTGGAGATGGAAACCAGTCTCAGGATGGAAGTGGAAAGGTGACGAGGAACACATCAACGTGCTAGAAGCTCGACCAGTGCTTACTACGTTGAAGTGGCGAGTGTTGCAGCACAAACAACTCAACATCAGATGCGTCCACCTAGTGGACAGCCTGGTAGTGCTCCACGCTTTGACCAGGGGAAGATCATCTTCAAGGAAAATGAGGCGTACCATCATGCGGATCAACTCCTACATACTTGCTAGAGGGCTTCGCCCCATTTGGGGTTACATCAATACCAGGATAACCCAGCCGATAAACCATCGCGCTGGGGAACCCGTAAGAAATGGGTAAAAAAGTAACCTCCTGTCTGGGAGCCAGCAGCAAGGAAACTAGGAAAAAGATCCGCCAAAAACTAGGTACCCTCAAAAGCCTCACAGTGCAAGACAAAACAAAGCAGCGCTACAAGGCCGCCCTTGCCGAGTTCTTCAAGTATCTACGTCAAGAAAACCTTGAACTTCCTACGCGACAGGATGCCATGGATGTGATGGTATCAGACTATCCTGAATACCTGTGGGCCCAAGGAAGGGACGTGCTACTGCAAGCACCTTCATGGCTGCGTTGCAGGATCATTTACCGAAGTTAAAGCACAACCTCAGCCTCTTGGCGTCTCATGAAGACGTGGTCAGTGCATGAAATCCCAGCACGAGCTCCTCCAATGACTGAGGCCGTTTTACGAGCCATGGTAGGGTGGTCTGTCACCAAAGGCCATGAAACTGTTGGCCTTAGTTTATTGGTTGGGTTTTATGGTCTTTTACGAACTGGAGAATTGTTAGCTCTACAAGCTTGGCAGATCCATATGGTCTCAGCCAACCAACCAGCGGTTATCAACCTTGGTCTGACCAAGGCGGGTAAACGACAAGGTGCAGCTGAATCCATTACTTTAACTGAAAAACATGTGCTTCAGCACTTGTGGGTATGGAAACAGCGTGTCCCTGAAAACACGTTTCTGACTTTAAAACCCCACGCCTGGCGAAATCTTTTTGCGGATTGTATCCGTAAACTCAAGTTAGAAGTTAGAAGCATGGGAATTTCGCCCCTACTCACTCAGAAGAGGTGGGGCAACCCACCTGTTCGTCAAGGGAGGTTCCCTTGATCGGGTCATCTTAGCGGGAAGGTGGACCGCTCTGAAGACCGCAAAAATTTATATCAACTCTGGTCTAGCAATGCTGACTGATATTCAAATTCCCAAAACCCTATTGACTCCGTTTCACCGTATTTTTCTTTCATGAAATTCAAAGCCCTCGCTTGAGCAAGTTCTCGTGGAGAACAAGGCAGGGGGACGTGGATAAAGAGCGCCAAGCGCGCCAAAAGACCAAGGGAGGGGGGAAGTTTTTTCTTGGTTGATTCGAAAATTTTCTGAATGTTGGTGATTGTCTGTGTCTAGTGCCTGAGTGTTTGCGGTGTTGCGTGAAGCTCAGGGGACACGGGTGGTATTTCTCCTCCGGGTGTGGCGGGGGGAGAAATACTTGTGCCCCTTTTATGAAGGTAGCGAGTATTGCCTTCTTTTTTCGACAATCACAGTTTTGAATTTCTCATTTAAACTTTTTCAATTTTGACTAAACTGGTCTGCAACGCACGTAAAAGATGGTGTTGTGAGTGTTTATATATATATATACATATGACAGATAAATGCATGCATTATACATATAAGTATTTTACTATACCACATCAATACCATTGTATCTATACCATTGTATTAGTACACAGATAAGAACACATGTACATGTATTACACATATTAATGCATAGAGATAATACATCTGACGTTGCTTCGCCTTGAAGGTGGAACAAGTGCACACGGTGGACGTGATCTCTCAGGTCCGTGGATCCATATGGGTTTCCGTCCGGAACTTACCCCAGAATGGATGTTTGTTTTCAAGGAAAATCCATCGAAACATGGATGATAATATTTTGGGGTACCTCTGAAGTCAGGAAACCTCCAGGTGGCTGAACATGACATTGTTTTTGTATGTTTTTGTACCAAAAACAAGGGATTGGAAATTCAATGAAATTCATTGGTGGATTGAAATGCTGTGCCTCTGTTTTGTATATCTGCGTATGTCTTTGGATTGCTGAACGCAAGTATCCCTTATTTATATATCTGATGGATTATTCAATGGATATATTATGGATCAAGTATCTAGTCTAGGGGATAAATGGATACAACAAAAACACATGGTTTTATCTATTTCAGGGGCAATCCATTTGCGGAAGCATGTTGGTCATTGCAAAAGGATGTTAATTGAAGCAGCAATAAGAGCAAGAACATCAAACAGATTTCGAGCAGCTGGCGTGTTACCATTTTACAAGTGTGTCATTGGAAGAATCCATGTCTTGTAGTTATTGTCGTCGTCGTCGTTGTTGTCGTTGTCGTTGCCATTGTTTTTTATTTTTTTTTGTTGCTGCTGCTCTTGCTCTTGGTGTCGGGTGAAAAAAAAATAGGTCTGCCGCTGTGACTGGATCTGAAGCAGTCATTTACTAGTGTCCCACCGCTTGAGCAAGCATGTTGCTCAAGGGCCCCCTCGAAATTTCAGGCGAGACTAAGATGATATTTCAACAATGGAGCCATTTTGGATTATTAAATTTGAAGCAAATGTGGGTATACTCACGCACCTCAATAGAATTTGATTTAGACATCTACAAACATTGACGCTCAGAGTTCTGGTATGTTTGCCACCGTTTGACTTTGGGCTCCAGATGCGCCGTGATTGTTTGTAGTCCAATCGACCTACAGCTAAGTATAGCCATGGCGCAGTTCCGATACCTCCGCACGTTCATTGATGAAGAACCAGTGGGTGTTCTGGAATCTCGTTCCAATAGCTGGCCGCAACTTGTTGGCTGGGAGACAAAGACGACGCGCGAGGACATCGAGACACAAGCTGCGAGTTACGTCGCTGAGCTGCAAGGCAAATGCATCATGACGTTTGGTGCACGGCCGCAGCCGCCTCAAGGTACTCCGCCACCCGAGACCAACCCCGACATCTCTGGCAATCTCGCCTGGGCACAAGAAGTCGCAGCAGATTCCATCGAAGCGCAGGAAGCGCAGGAAGCGCAGGAAGCGCAGGCAGAAGTTGCAGAATACAGTGGCAACCTCGGCAACCTCGGCAGCCTCGGCAGCCTCGGCCACCCGGCACTCTGCCGCCGGCCATGTGTTCGCTTGGCGAAGGGAATGTGCAAAACGGGAGATGCTTGTGACTATTGCCACTATGGTCATCCGCGCTATGTACCTCCAGACAAAAGGCAGAGATGTGAGTTGAACGACATGGACACTTTGTCTTTGTTTCTGTGTGTGTATGTTTCCATATGTTTCCTGTCTCCTTTTGTGTTTCTTGTATGATGCATGCTGCGAGCCTAGCATTGAATAGCGGCTGAAAAACCTGGCGAGATGTCCATCCAATTTCTAGAATGCGCAGTTTTGTTTCTAGATCATTTCACTAACTCGTACCATCCATGTACTTGTACAGTATATTGTGGATATGGATATTATATATATATATATATGGGATTTCCTAAAATGATGGTACCCCCAAACAATCATCCATTTTTATATGATTTTCCATTATAATCATTATGAAATATTATCGTGGATCAACAGCTGAAGCAGCAGCTGCTAGGCAAGACCTTTTTCGTCTCGCCCTTGAGCCATTTTGCAATGGCAGTCATGTTTCATCCTTGCGCAGTGGCCATGCTATGGTTGGTGCACGCCACCACATGTCAACTTCTAAGTTTTTAAAATCCACAGCAGCTGGTGGAATGCTTCATGAATCGCACTCCCCCCCGCAGCTTGCTGCGGAACATCAAAAGTTCAGCCAAAATGGCTTTCGCAGCCCGGCTCTCAGCAGTGCTTTTTCAGGTCGTCATAGTTTTCAGGGCTCCTCCTCATTGGCATTGACATCATCGGACTCCTCATCAGTCACCAGAGCCCACTCTTCGACTAGCGGTTGGTAGGATCTTGGGACTGAGGGAGCAGCAGGAGTAGCGCTCGAGCTTGAGGAGGGCACCACAGCAGCGACACCACGTTGAATGACGCCACCACCTCGATTGTAGCCCACAGACATCGGAGCTGCAGACTTGTTGTACGGGCTTGTTGGACCCGCAATTGGTTCCACCTGGAGTTCTCGGGACTCAGCACTGGACATAGTTCCTGTGCCGCTAGCTGCAAGACATCCATCTAGGTACAGCTTGCCGATCAAAAGGCCAGGTTCACGGTGAGGTCTTGTATGCCTCGGAGTATGCATTTCGTAGTGGCGTCCCACATGCACCTCGAGGTCGTCGTCATTGGTGGACTGCGGTTGAGGCCAGGACGGCCCAGCAGTCACTGTTGCCGGTTCCAGCTGTATGTTCAGGTTGAGGTCCTCCATGGCTTCCATCTTCATCTTGAGAAACGTAAACCCCACCCACTGAAACTCAGCTCGAACCACAGGGTCATTCCATTGGTCGGCGACCAGAAAGCCTGGTCCATTTCTTCCATCCACATAGAACGCCTTGGTGATGCGTTCACCTGTGAGGAATTTGGCATCAACTGGCGCACTTCGGTGCAAGGGGTGGAACCTCTGTTTTCGGGCAGCACGATGGATTCGCACCAGGTAGATGCTTTGGTCACATTTGGTTACGGACCATCCATCCTTTTTTCCACTCCTGCTTGGAGCGCCAAAACGCTCATCCAACCATGGACCTTGTTGAGGCATTTGGTCCAGTTGAGTGCCTCCTGCTATTTTCTTGGCCTTCTCTGCGGCCAAGCGAGCTGGAGGGAACTTGGGCATTGCCCCTATGTAAGGGTCTTGTCGTGCTCGAGAACCATCCGAGCTGGCAGCAGTTGAGGAACCCTGCAAAGCGGCAGCACACTGCAGCATCATTGGCGGCGCCTTTCGGCGTACAGCAGCAGCAGCGGGCACCGCAGCGGCTTCGCCTGTCGTCTGCGGCGGCAGCGGCGGCGCAGGTTTTGACATCTTTGGGGCCATGGCAGCTAAACGCACGGCCGGAACTTTTGGGCAGCCCGTAGGGCAGTGGTTGGTATCAGCCAACGGTGGCTGCAACAGTTTATCATTTTCAGAGTCACCGCCAACGGACTCAAAACTGTTGTGCGCCATGCCACAGCTGTTTCCTGCCACAAAATCCCCAAAACCAGGACCTTCTTCAGGGTTACTGTCCCAAAAATCCCTTTCACTTTCATAGGTTCGGTGAGCCCAATTTCCATGTTCAGGGGTTCCATCCCAAACCGTCCCAAAACTGTTTTCTCCAGGTTCATCTTCCCTTGTTGATTTCACACATTTTTTGGTTCTTATTTGAGGGTTTATGCCTCCAGGTTCGTTTTCCCTTGGAGGTTTTTCTTTGGCCGGTTCATCTCCCCTGGCATCTTGTTCGCTTTTGAGGCCAATGGCTCTTGATGGTTTTTCCACCTCCCTCCCGTCTAAACAGATCTCTTTGGATCTATCCTCCGATGAAGGCGCAGGGTGCCAGTTGCAAGCCAGCCATCCAGCGCATGCAGCAGCAGCAGTAGCACAGGCCAGCCGCACATCAGCTCGCCCAGCTGCTGAAGACGCCACAGCCAGCGCAGCCATAGCCACGATCACCTTCACCTTGGTCACCACATCATCAGATCCCTTAGTTTCATCAGGTCCTGAAGTGGCGGTCGTCTTGGAAGACCCTTTGGAGGTTTTTTGAGGTGTGTTTTCGGGGTCATATTTGGGGATTGACGCATCAACATGAAACCCAAGGAAATGCCAGAACTTAACCCAATCCCTCAACAACGTGATTGGTTTGGTGAGCATGTCAGCAGGTAGATCAACTCCCCTTTGGTGTCTGACTTTCCATGTTTGGGGGTCACTTTTCAACAACTCACGCAAGCAAGACGAACGAAGCCTCAAATGGCGTGTTCTCCATCCACCATCAGGGTTCATAAGTATGCTAAGTGCACTTGAATTGTCCCCATAAATAACCTTTTCAAACCCATCAAAACCATCACCCGTGTTGCATGAACCATGGATAACCTTCAATAGGGCCTCAGCAGATTTCAACATTATTGTAGCTTCGCAGTACCCAACCAATTCGGATTCCGCTGTGCTCATGGTGTGAAATGCCTGCCGAGTTGCCTCCCACTGAATTGGAGATCCTGCGGCACATAGAATGATGCCCTGGTGACTGCGGTCACCTTGAGGAGCGAAGCTGATATCGGCGAAGGCCTCAATGAGCTTCTCATGCCTTGGTACCTGAAGTGTGCCATGTGCACCGTGGTCCTTGTTGCAAGGGCGGTACAGGAGGCAAGTTTCTGGGGTGTTACACAAAAACCCTAGCACGTGTTGTCCCAACTGTTGGACCCACCTTGGTTTTCTAGTAACATTTCTTCCCATGACACTTACGGCATAGGCTATGTCAGGCCTACTTCTCACAGAAAGCCAAAGCAGTTCACCTGTGATTGCTTGGGCTGCACGGACGTCAGGTGTTGTGATATCCGTTTCATCCGTTTCTGAACTGTCCAGTTTTGGCATGGGGCATGACTTTGGGGAAACATGTTCATGACGTTTCAACAACTCAGCAGTGTAAGACTTTTGTCCTACCATCAGACTCACCCCATCATCATGTCTTTTCAACTCAAAACCACAAAACCGGATCCATTCATTTTTGTCAACAGTTTCGACATCGGAACACTTCCATTCTTTTTTCAACCGGTCAAAAAAGGAGTTTCGAACATTGTCATTTGCAAGAGCCATGATGTCGTCAACATAAACAATAACATGACCTTCACATGTTGGTTCGGCATCCCCATGACCATGTTTCATGATTTTCCACAAGTTCCCTTCTTCGGTTCTTTTGAGGGAAAAGTCACAACCATCCATCTTCCATTTGAACCCACTCATGACCTGATCCCTGTGCACCGCCCAATGTGCGGGGCTTGAAGTGAACCCATACAAAGCGTTATGAACTCTCCACCGTTCAGAAGGGCTGCAAACTTTGGCTTCCACAAGTATTTTTGGGGGCACAACAATCACCTCCCGGGCATCTTGAGGTTTCGGCCGAGGAGCTAGGAGAAATGCTGTGCGAATGTCGGTAATGCCAGCGCCCCATCCCATCTGCACGGAGTGAGCCAGTGTAGCTCTGATCAGAATGCCATCAGCGCCAGAAGCGTAGAGATTGCCCGGAGCAGGATCCAAGTCACTTTGCAGCAGGTTTCCACAAACTACTGCCCTACATTTCTTTTTACCACCATTTGGACCCGCTTTTCGAACAGTCACAAGTTTTCCAGGAACAAACTCAACCGCTTCTTGGTTCAACATGGAAAGGTCAACAGGTTCAATGGCCTTAGTTTCATGGACCAAACTGTTGTATTCTTTCATCATCGCATCCTTCCATTCCCCAAGTTCATTTCTGACTTCATTCAAAGGGATTGTGGTTGTTTGCAAGACCTCCCCCGGATTCACGGCCATGACATCATCAGCTTGAAGGCCACACATTTTAATAACCCGTTTATTTTGGGCATCACGGACCAGGAACAAGTCATTTTCCAACCGTTCTTTTTCCCCTTGAAGCCATTGGATATCAGCCCCACAAACTTCCCCAAGAGATTTCGTGGTGGGAACAACATCCAACAGGTCTTGTAATGAACTGGAAATGGTTTGATGTTTCCAACCCAAACATTTTTCCAAACAATCCAAAGATTCCAACTTGGCAACAACCCTTGACTTTGACCCCAAACCAACATCTTCAGGGTTTTTTGGGTTACCATCTCCCCCGGACCCAGCATTGGTGTTCAACCCCTTAACAAACCGTGGTGCCTCCCTAAGGTTTTCTTGGTCGATTTCATCAAAGATTCCCAACATTTCATCCCCATTATCCCCATGTTCACCATCAACCTCAAGAACAACTTCATTTCGGGGTTCATTTTCAGGGATTTTTTCAAGTTGAGAATCCAAAACCAAAGAGGACTCCCCCCCGCGATCCAATCGCGGCAGTGGCGGCAGTTTCATGGGTGCTGGTCCTGGAGGTGGCTGCTTATGCCAAAGACGCAAGTGAGGTTTGCCAGGCCGCAGGTCTTCTTCGAGTTGCAGTTGGGCTTGATCGCCCAGTGGATCTGGCAGTATGGCCTCACGAGCATGCAAAACATGTTGGTCCTTAGTCGTTCGGACAAGCCAACCTGAAGTCATGTCAGGGCTTGGACACAACAAACGTGTTTCAACAAAAGGTCGAGCCAACAAATTCCCTTTGTCATGCCATCTTTTTCTTTTGACCAAAACCAGGGAATTGTACGGCAACATTTTTTGAACAGGG